AGTTCTTTTTGCTTTGTAAGGTTAGTTATTGTTTAAAGAAAGTCCCCAGAAACCTAAAGCAGTTGGAAAATGAAAAGGCATAAAACCCACAGAGGTTAATTTCACTTGAAATTCCTTGAGATAAATCACAACTTTCACTAATTGATGCCATTGCAGAATATCTTTAAAGAAAGAAAAAAGAAAAGAAAAATCCTTTGCAGCAAAAAAGATGAAGATTTCACAAAAACATTTTTGTTTCCTTAATGACTTCCTGAACAAAGACAGACAGACAGAAATAGAATGCAGGAAAAGGCTGACACTGATATTTGTAATGAATGCAAGTATCTGTACCTAAAGAACCCCCAAAGAATCTTTTTCTCAAAAAGCATAGTCCATTTACATGAATTCTAATATTCTCTTACCATCAGCCTTATTAGGCCTGGGGAGTTCAATAATTTGCTAAAAAGTTAGGTACACCAAATCTGCATAGGGTGTAAATACATGCACATCTTCACAGTAAATTATAGATCATGGTAGAATGGTAAAGAATTGCAGAATTTACATATCTAAATTCTTACAGCTCTTGGGAAAGCAATGCCCCTACAAGAAAGAGAACAAGGCTATGATGGGGAACTGCCAGTAGGGTTTGGGTGTTGTTAGTCAATGATAGTTGAAATCAGGATGTCACCCTGAGCAGTGTTGTGTATAAAGACTGATGTAAAATTAGGCATATATCACTATCCAGAGCTCTGTGCAGCTCAGGTGTTTTTTTTTTTTTCAGCTAATAGTGAGACTGCTTGATTAGTGTATCAGGTGCACCATGGCTTTAGGTCTCAAGTTCTGCTGAAAAGGAAAGCTGTGCAGAATGTATGATAATTAAATGAAGTTATATTTTTTTTCTTTTTGGTATTACAGCTCATGAATATATTTTTGGTTTTAGGAATTAGAAAACAAGCTGTTTCTAGCTTTGCATCTTGTTCTGCAGTCAGATATTGCTCTTGCTTAAATTACAGAGGAAAAGAAAATGCAAGGGAACTTATCAGGCTAGGAATGATCACAGAATATCCACTCCAACATAATAAAAAATTGTGTCTGTAAAAATTGCCTCTAGGTATTTGTGCATGTATTTTTGTTACAAGCAATTATTACATCAGTCATGCTGCAATATTATCTTGATCCACTGACTTACAGTGACAACTAGTTATCACTTTGAAAATGGACTAGCTCCTATGTTGAATTGCTTTATGACATCAGTTTACCTATGTCAAAATAGAGTGAGGATGGCAACCTGCAGTTGGCAAAGTACCATGAGAGCTAACAGGACATTATTTTTAATCTGCGAGCTGTTCCTACCTTTCAGTAATGGACTAGCAATTCTGCCCTTCCACTTTGTAACTGAGTTGTCTTATCATGACCAAAATATTTTAAAACTACTCAAGCTTCATTTTCAGACTGTTACTATCTACCTTGCATCCTAAGGTTACAAAAAATGTTTTAAAATGAAAGCTAGCTAAAGTGTGATCCATGGACTGGAAACCCACCATTTAAACCTATGTGTGTAATGGCTTGCAATAGCAATTTTCTCTCCATCTTTTCAGTATCCCAGTGTGCCTTAGACCTTATTCTTTTCAACTACCTCCTAGAAGTGAACAGGCTTCCTGAGACCCTTTGGTTAATAAATGAAATCTGTATAAAAATGTGCTGGCAACAAAAGACATACCCAGGACACATACTGTCATATGAATGAATCATCACTTAAAATTAGGAAAAATTATTTCCAGCATTAACGCTGCTCATGACAACCTATTTTGGCAGCAAAAAAAAATCACAAGATATATATTTTAAAACACTGCACGGCTCTGTCTTATATAGATTCTCCTCTCCCACCCTAGTACTTGAATGCCTTCCAGAAGCACATTAAGCAACATGACTAATGTCTGTCTCATCTTCATTCTTTTACTTGAAGCTGAAAAATTACATTATTTTTTCAAAAACTACCTGCAAGTTGATGAAATATCATCATGCAATGAACATAAAATTTTTACATTACTGTGAAGACCATGGCAGAATTCAACCTTTGAAGAAGCACATACTGTTTCTACTGATGTAAGTGAACAAGTGCTCAGTTATGCCAGGATACAGTTTCTACATATAAGCATTGCAAAGCAGACTACCTTCTTGATATATGGGAGATTTTCAGACTAAAACAGCAAGCAATCCTTCACAGCAGCATTCATTTTGCTGGATTGAGAAATTAGCACAACATAGGAGATCTCTTTCTGTCTGGAACTAAAAAGGTATCCAATTTTGTAGTTGCCATTGATTTATTATTCTGATCCTGCATGGGGTTGCTGATGCAGATAGCTCTCTTAGCTAACTGTCTTTTGTGTCAAAGTGTACAAAAGACTAACACTCCGACTTTTTAATGGCATAATTTACCTTTAGCTGTAGCTCTTGAAGACTAGAGACCTGTAAGAAAACTAAAAATTGAATAAATGTGCTGCTGTTTACAGAACATTAGCTTTCCCACAGAATTAATATGTATGGTGTCACATTTGGGACTAACATGAAATTTAAGCTTGTGCCATGTTTGTATCACAGTATAAATAAAGTTGTGACCAGCATGGATCACATTGTGCTGGATGCTGCACTAGCAAAGAATAAATATCTACCCCTCCATGAAAAGTTTGGTTGGCTTCCAGTGAGCTGACTGTGACACTGTTAAATAATGCACCCACACAAAGAAAGAATAAACTAACAATCTCAGACAAGAGGAGCTGTCAGCAAACTCAGTTAAGCTTTGCTGTGACTGACTTATGCAGTGGCACGATCCTTTAAGATAAAGAGTAGGATTCCCGGTATAGCTATGGATTGTGAGGAGCCAGCATGTGAGTTGTTTTAGCAGCCTCCCAGCATATATAGGCTTATGGGAAAGAAGACAAGGGGTCTGGATTCACTGCTTTTGTGACTGTCTTTCCCTGTTGTCATTCAATTGCACTGGTGGGAAAACCTGGCTTCAGCCTTAAAACAAATTTTAATTTGAGCCTCAGGTTCCCTGCCATGTTTTTTGCTTTCTGGATTGTGTGACTAGAGAATGAAATGCATTTAACAGTGCAGTCAGTGTGCATTATTTCTAGAAGAAGAAATGCTGAATGTACAAAATAGTAATCATGGTGATTTAGATGTCAAAGACACCACTAGATCAGGGCTAGCAGTGAAAAACAGCTTTGTTTCACTTTTCTCTTAAACAGAAGCCTATATGTTGTGGACATCAATCTATTATATTTGGCAACTAAATTTTTATTGTGGGTGCTTATTTTTGCCATTTTTTTTTCCTCTTTTTTTCTTTTTTTCTTTTAGCAAAAGCATATGTTTTCCAAGTGTAATTTATTCCTTATGAAGAACTGCAGTCTTAATGACAGTTTAGACATTGATATATTTATTAGGCTATATTTTCCCTTTAATGTAGCAAGTATGTGCTCAGTGTTCTGTGTATACATTTTCATAATAACCCCTTTCCAGTTATCTGTGAGATCAAAGGCTGTAGCTCTGCACAACTTCTGCCAAAAATAAGAGATTCTTTTCTTACTGAGTCATTGTAGACTGGCTCACAGTGTTTGGTGGATTCTGCTTTCATCTGATCACAGTTGCGAACCCGCATATTTAGTGTAGATTTCTTTCTTACATAGTCTTTATTTCTGTCCTGTCTTTAGCACTGCAGTGGTTCTACATTGTTATAAGTCACTGTAGCCAGAGCAGGGCCCTGTGTTAAAAGAGTATTCACATCATAGCACTAGCCAAGAGTGTGAGAGGACAGCACATCCCTGCAGTTAGCACACACAGATGTGTCTATGGGCAGTGACCACAAATTAAGAATCTGATGTCCCAGACTTGGTGTGTGATAAATCCCGCTTCACTGCAAATCATATAATTGCAGCAAACACACATTTTGCCAAAGGTTTTGCCATCTCTGACTTGCTGTCTGCAATGCCTCATTTCCAAGGCACGGCAGTTACAGGACTCTTTTCCAAAGGTGGTTTAAGAAGGTTGACAGCAAACCCTGTAAAAAAATGGGATCTTCTGGAAACCAGGAGATACTACACCTGCTTCAGTCAGCTGGGTTTAAAGAAATGTTGTACGTGCTCAGTGAATTTTTTGGGAAATCCTAAGTATCATATTGCAATTAAAAAATCTGAACAGAAGAGATGATTGCATATTTCTACCTCATCCCATGGGCTCAGTTTGCTGTAAGAATAATTTCCACAAGCAAAAGTTTAGAAATATTTTATGGTTTATGCTTCAGTAGATAAAAGGCACCAAAGCTGTTGTCTGAAATCCTTTCAAAAAAACCTTAATGCTTGCATTTCCAAGATAAACAACTAGCACAGACTGGAGTTAGAAGGATGGCTGTGACATGACTGGTGGAGGGTTCTACCACTGCTTTTCAGTAGAGTAAAAAATTATTGAAAATACTAACATATTTTTACTATTACCTAGACATGTGACACTTTTAAGAAGGATCCTTCTCATTTCCACTTAAGTCTCTTTCAAGTTCTCAAGAATAGATGCAAATAAGTATTCAGATTTATTTCCATAGTTAGTTTCTACATTGTAAAGACTTGATCAAAGTCAAGTCTAAATTCTAAGATCATAAATTTTTCAGTTAAATCATCATATTAGTGACTTTACTATTAGCTTAGAAGATTTAGTATAATGGCTGTGGAAGAATAGGGATTGCTATGTTCAAAAAGTACATGAGAAAGTGGAACTACCCTCACTGAAGTTCTTTTAAATGGGTTTTTCTGTTCAGTGTTATAGATTCTACATCTTGATAGGGAAGTTTATACTCTATTTTTCTTTACTTGTAAATAAAGCTATTTCCTATCCAAATGATGAATTTCACTAGTAAAGTGCTGTGGTAACAACCTATTAAGACAGATTATGATGAGTTAGGAATGCAGTAAGAAGTCCCTTCATACCTTACTAGTATGGCCGTTAACACTTTCTTGTTTTCCCCGCAGAGTTTTTCCGAGAACTTCTGGAGAATGCGGAACGCTCCTTAAATGACATGTTTGTCCGGACGTACGGCATGCTGTACATGCAGAACTCGGAGGTGTTCCAGGACCTCTTCACGGAGCTGAAGCGTTATTACACAGGAGGCAACGTGAACTTGGAGGAAATGCTGAACGACTTCTGGGCCCGGCTGCTGGAGAGGATGTTCCAGCTTATAAACCCCCAGTACCATTTCAGCGAGGACTACCTGGAGTGTGTGAGCAAGTACACGGACCAGCTGAAGCCGTTTGGAGACGTGCCCAGGAAGCTGAAGGTTCAAGTGACTAGAGCGTTCATTGCTGCACGCACCTTTGTTCAGGGGCTGACAGTGGGCAGAGAGGTTGCGAACAGAGTATCCAAGGTAATCTAAAATATTTTAGTTTTTTTTAGCTTGGATTTGTTCTCAACTTGCCAGACAGTTGAAATCTATATGTTTGTTTTTTTTTTCTTTCAGTATAAGGAAGTGTGTTTGGTTGGTTTTTATGTCTACCAGTATACCCATCCTAAGTTCATAAATAGGGGCAACAGTTGTTTCCAGTTCCTTCTGGGGATATTAAAGTAATACTGACTGGAAAGCATTTCTCTGTGCTTAAGACACAGTGAAATATCAATATACATCAATGTCATAGCATGGTACTGATTGTCATTTGTAATTCAAAACTGGCTACATATATAAAAGATGGGGATTAGATCAGAATTTAAATGTTTCAAGCAAATTTATTCTGCTGTTCATTGGGAAAGTACAGCCCTCACAGCATTCATTCATCATGCAGCTGGGTGATGGATTTTGTTAGAAATGTCTACTCATGTTTCTGATGAGAAAATAGACAAACAGTGACACCTCTGGAGCTTGAGTTTTCCCAGAGGATGGTTTGGCTCACATTTATTTTAGTTTTAATTATTTATCTATGCAAATATTTATGACAATTATAATCCTTGTGGGCTTCACATAATTAAAGAAAAAAATACACAGAAAAATAACCCATCTGGGTATCACAAATATGCCTGAATGACTTTCTCTTATCCAGTATTTCAAAATCAGGTATATTTTTCTGAACTGGTGTTCCAGCTAGATATTTGCTCTTTGATCTTGCTATTTCACAGTTCTTGTGAACTTCTTATTTGGGCCTTGAATTCTGAAATACTCTCATGAGATCCACTGTGAAATGGTCAAATTCTGAACAATAAGTGCATGAGTGATTTGGATGCTTGGCCCCAATACTTTCCCACATTTACAAGCCTAAGCCACATCTCTGCCTCAAGAGGATCATCTCATTTGCTTCCTTTAAATCACAGTCAGAAGGGGAGGTAGAGCTAATACATTGTACAGTACACTCAAGCACTCAACAAGATGGGGATTTTAAACTTTTCTTAACCTGTATTATGTGATATTTTGCAATTGCAAGTTGAGAAGCCATCGAGCCAGACATATAGTCAGGAAGAGAGAGCCTGATTTTATGTCTAGGAGATTACATGGTAGAAAAAGGTCATTTTGCACTTAAAATTCAGTGGATGAGGTATATGATCCTTGTTAGTCAGCTAGAACCAAAGTCTCTTCCTCCAAGTGCCTTCCTGAGCTTCAGGGTTGCCTTTCTTTGATTTCTGACACTGTCTTTCTGAATGGTGGCAGGGTATCATCGTGAAACCCTGGGCTGCCTAGTCTAGCTGGGGGCAGATACAGCTTTTTACTCTGCAAATGTGCAGAATACATATATCTGCAGCCCTGGATTTCCTCTGAAGAGTGATGATATCCCCATGGGTCAGGTTTTAAGCAAAAGTACAGAGCTCTGATGCCGCTGTTGCCAGCAGGCATTAGATCTTGGTGGATCAGACTGTAGAGAGTAAGCTATGTAATTCACGTAATAGATGCATAATTTGTGAATCCCTCACAGATTAAGGCCTGAATTGTCTGCTGAGGTGTCACTTTCCCTGTGTATGTACATGACTGTACAGAATGTGCAGGTGCCTCCTCTCTCACATATCCAGGAAATGTTTTCCTCTCAGCCTCTGGGCTTTGGGTACATAAGCCCTTTCAAGAAAAGGGTTTATAACAAGATCATTAAATGATCCTATGATCCTATAATGAGAACTGCTAGCTCTGCAATCATGCAGTGGGTCTTTTCGTGATGTCACTTGAAGATGATAACAGTAGCTTAATAGCTTCTGTTATTTTTGGGTTTTTTTTTTGCTTTCAACATGAAAGAAACACTAGGAATCACCATTAAAAGGTTTCACTGGGTGGTGCAAGACACAATAGTGTCTTTACAGACACGTAGTGATACTTCATTAAACTACATCTAGAACACCGTGTTCAGTTTTTGGCCCTTCCCTCACAAAAAAGACATTGATAAAATGAAGCAAGTTCAGTGGAGGCTGCCATCATGATCTGGACTGGATTACTTGTCCTGAGAGGAGAGCCTGTGGGAATGGGGCTTCTTTGTTCTGGAGAAGAGGTTACTTCAAGGGCACTTAGCAGTTGCTCCTGGTCCCTCTAAGGAGGTCATTAAAGAAATGCAGCAGAGGTCTTCACAGTGGGGCATGTCATATGATGGGCATGAGTTGAAGCATTTCCTCTTGTCCTATCATAGCAAGCCCTAATAAAATCCCATCCCCATATATCTTATAAATGCCCCTTAACTACTAGAAGGTTGCTAGTAAGACCTTCCTGGAGCTTCTCTTCTCCAGACTGAACAACCCCAAATCCCTTATGTCTTCATAGGAGAGGTGCTCCAGCCCTCTGACCATTTTTGTGGCCCTCCTCTGGATGCAGTACAACAGGTCCACATCTTTCCTGTGATGCTGAGAATTCCAGAGCTGGATTTATTAATCCAGGTCAGGTCTTCTGCGAGCAGAGTACAGATGATCTGCTGGTCATATTTCATAAGGATTATTATCCTATGATCCTATTAAAAATTAATAAAATCAACATTTTTGCTTATATGTAGAGTATGCTTTAATGGCATGACTTTCTGTGGTATTAAAAACTCAGTGGCTGTATTCATACACACATATTGTTTTTGTTTATGCAAAACAATTGCTGGCCTTAGGGACTTTGTGTTACACGCAGCCTGGTGAGGCAGATATGAAGAACCCCAAGTGGCACCATATATTCAAGATTAATAATTGTCCTGTGGAAAGGTTGTGATTACTCTGAGAATGAATTCTACATTGTCATACCATAACTGTGGATTTTTATGCTGGTTTATCTACTGTAGAAAATGACAAATCATTTTCTTTAAACATAATTTTAAAAGACTACAACTATTTCTTAGAGCTAGCACATAACTGCAGCCAAAAGTAAGGCAGGTAAACATCTTTTGTTGTTATTTTGAAAGTCATTCAAATTCAGCACAGGTTTCTTTCTCATTGTACTCTAATATTGAGAGATTCTGTGATAAGGATGCCACATCTGGGTAAGTCAAGAGAAATTAATAAAGACAGAAAATGAAAGGAAGAACTATTGCAATTCTTCTATAAAATCCTTTGTCCATTCTGTACACTGGCTGGGAACAGACAGGAATCTTCTACCTGCAACATCACAAGCTAAAAGTTTTTTTAGCTTTCTATTTGTGGACCCATTATTTCACTGAACTGCCACTAACATATAAAAATGTTGAGCCTACATCTTAAACACCATGAGAAAGAGAGTGACTAATGAGAAAATTAGCAACAACGTTTCTTTAGGGCGTTTACTCTCTCATCATCTTCTGGACCATTTCTGTAGAGGAGTTGGTGGGTCACACATGTAGGATTTGTTGCCTCTCTAATGTCAGGGACATATCCTTTCTAAAGATTTTTCCTCAGAGAGGTTGCAATGTCTGAAAATAATGTAGTTGGTGTATTCCTTGCAAAAGAGCTACGCTTCCTTTTTTTTGATGAAGTGTGCATTCAAGCACACTCAAAGTAGGCAACACATATTGCAAACATTTTCCTCTTACAATAGGATTTTGCAGTTTAGCAATTTGCTTGTCAGTGAGATTATAATTTAGTAAATCACACTTAGATAAATGGGGAGGGAGGATGGTTAGAATATCTTATTTTTGCTATTTTTTCAAATATTATATTCCAGTTGCAAGCAGACATAGTTGCTTCCATCTGCCTGAAGTTTTATTATGCTGTTTTAGTTGAACAGCATTTTCGTGATCTCTAGGTCTAATTACAGTTTTTAATCTTCAGAGATTTTTAAATCACTTTAGTTCTCATTCTAATGCATTAAATTTGCCAGTGCTATGTTGCTATGCTGCTTAAATCTCCACTCAATGCAGTATATTGCCACTGGCCTGAATGGACCAGCTTGCTAAATTCTATATATATTCTAGAAAGCTGTATAGGTATATGAGCAAAAAGTAATTATTTCTTAAAGTGAGAAAATTTATTCCTAATTTAAATCAATTTATTCATTAATATAGGAGAATTCCTAAAATATTTCAAGTTGGAAGGGTCCTGTAAAGATCGTTGAATTCAACTCCCTGCTGCTTGCAAGACTAACTAAAAATAAACCATATGACTAAAAGCTTTATCCGGACGCTCCTTGAACTCTGACAGGCTTGGTTCCTTCACGTCTTTCCTGGGGACACTCTTCCAGTTACCAGCCCCCCTCTCAGTGAAGAACCTTTTCCTGATGTCCAATCTGAACTTGCCCTGATGCAGCTTCAATAGATAATATTCAATATGCAACATCAGAACTGCCATTTGGGGTATGTCAAAGGTCTGTTTAGTTGATTTTACCTCAGTGGCAGTAGTTTAAAGGTCAGTATAGGAGCAGAGCTTCTTAAACTGTAGGAGCAGTGTGCTTTCTTATGCTGTAGGTAGTAGACGTTTATGGACATTTTGAACTACAGTTTCAGAAATAATTAGTTAAATTTTCTACTTTGTTAGATTCTAAAACCCTGTCTTTTCTGTTTTGATACCATTTGGTAAAAAAAAAGAAAAATAGTTCTGTCCTTCCCTGTTTCTCTGCAAAAAATATAGCATATTAACATGCTGTTGTTCTTAAATTTACTTGTTATCAACATTTTTCCTAGATAAAATAAATAAATAAGCTAAAGAAAAACAAAAAAAAAACAACCAAGCCTTCCTGACAAGCTGTGATTTAGTATCTAATGTTAAGCTGGAGAAGCTGCTGAAAATATTTCTTAAGTTGCTCTTAGCTGTGATTACCAATACTGTGATAGAAAAGACATTTGAATACTTTTCATGTTCATCCTTTACTATGCCTGAGCTCTGGACACTGAGAAAATAATGCTAAGTTACTCTCTCTGACTCTAAACAAAGAATTCTCAGTTATCGTAATAATGCCTTTGAACTGTCACTGAGTGGTGGAGGATATAAGCAGAAAAACACATGGGGAATTAAAATTTT